ACCCACTTCCCCGGGTCCCTGTACATGTGTATGTTCATGTATGAGCATCTAAATTTTGTGCACACTGAAAGAAGATAAATGTACTATAATTCAGTCAAATAAGTACTGTATGTATATGCGAAACATATACACACACACACACAAAGACACACACACACATATATATATAATTACATACATACATACATACATACATACATACATACATACATACATCTTCTTCCTCCGCCGCGAGAAGGTCTCACGATGCGTCCATGGGCAGTCATTGACTGGCAACTGAGTTGCATGACGAAGTATTTTCGCACCCCGGATTCCGTGACTCAACAGACGTGCTATAATCATAAAGACACTGCAAGGATAAGAAAAGGATGAGTAAACTGAGATTTGGAAACTAACAATTCAGCTTCCTGCTCGGCGAGATTCGCCCCATATGCAGCAGGAAAAAGCACGATTGAGTCTGTGGCGGGCTTAGCCCAAACGATTGTCAAATGCTCCGTGGAGCCTTAAAAGCTTGAGTGGACCTACAGTCGCTGCAAGAACAGAATATATGCATTATCTAGAACCTCCTGATATTCTTGAGTTGAGGGTTTGTGGGGCACTGTTCCATCGTCGGTAACCCATGCGATGTCACCTTCTGCCAACAATGCAGCACGGTAGTGTCCGCTGAGTTTGGTCGGACCCAGATGGTACACTATGGCTATGAGCTGGTAGGGATGCGAGGCTGTGGTTAAGTCCGCCTGGGAGAAGTATGGCACATAAACCCGGCGGGACAATGAAACCTTAAAGCTTACCTTTTCACCCTCATCTGAAAACCGACACAGCTGGACTGGCAAAATTTGCGGGAGGCTCACCAGCGCATGCCGTCGGGCCTGGTTGCGCCAGCTGATGAAAAGGCTCTGCATGCTACACGTGGAATCTCTGCCGAGCCGCGGTGCAACATTCAGCAGAAGAGGCCACAAGTCTCCATGATCAACCACCTCGGTGTCGGTGCTGGTTTGGAGACGTGAGTGCCAAAAGTCCCCATTCGCTGGGGTGAACACCTTTGCTAGATGCTGCAAAAATTCAGCGGCACATTGCTGCTGGGATGGATTCTCCCACTGCCTGGTCAAGAATTGCCAAGCTTTGACATGCCAGAGGCAGATCTGCTGCGGTTTTCGAACAAGCCAACGAAGCAGCCTATTTAGGGAGAGGTCGTAAACTGCTGAACCGGGTGCACCCTGACTAGCCACCCAGATGATAGAGTTTATTATGGAGTTGGCATAGCAGTAATTATTGGGATTGTCAAGGGCAAGCTTGCACACCGCTGCCTTGTCGAGGCTCACAAAGATTGGAGCATCTTGTCGACTTGAACCGCCAGCGGGCTGCGACCCATACGGGTCGGGCGGAGGGTGGTGTGGCACAGCTGCATAACCCCGTTGCGGCTCAACCTTTGGAAGCCCATGTACATCTGCTGCGAGTCGGCATTCCGATTCTGAATTTGCAAACTGAAAAGAATAACTTCGGCAGCGTGCTGGGGAGCCAGTTTGTGCAGGGCATGAAAGCGGCCGATGACGTTCGGGCACGCAGTCAAATTCTGCAACATCTTGACTACCACCTTGGCATCCTGGTGGTAGCTGAGCGGCGCCATTGTCTCCTGCTTGTGCCGCTTCTCTTGATTGTCCCAGCGCAAGTACGGGTAGGCCGGGGCAGTCTCCAGGTCCTGTACCAGGCCCAATTCTCGAGCCCGCTCCCTCAAATCTTGGTCCTCCTCCATGGCCTCGATCTTGTGGTAGAGGACTTCCAGGAAGGAATGCAGGAGCACAACTCGTAGCGGCTGGGTGAGGGTCTCGGGGGCTTGTTCTTTCTGCTGGTTCCACTCCTGGGCTACCCGGTAGAGGTTCGCAGTCAGGGACCAACCCTTGTGATCGGCTACCGTCCCGATGAACATGATGAACTGCGTGTCGAGGCTGGCTATGGTCTGGGAGTCCTCCAACCTTAAAACCAACGTTCCCATCTGCTTCACCAGCTCCTTGAGGTCCTCGTCCCCGTCTCGGTCGCGACGGCCCTGCCTTTGGTTTTGCCCGCGGCGTGCGCCCCACCACACCTGGCTTCCCCACTTTCCGGTCTCGCGGGCTGGGCTGCGCCTGTTGCGATCGGGCTTGGCCAAGTCGGTGGAGCCAGTGCCCGGGTCGTTCGTCTTGTTGGCCTCCTCCTGGTCTGATACATACATACATACATACATACATACATACACTTTTTCTATGTATGTATATATATATACACACACACGGGTCCCGCACCATGAAGGGCCAAACCCCAAGCATCAGATTCAACCCACAAAGCATGTGCACAAGCTTACAAGCTTCTCTGAGTCCGCACACGAAGAGCCTTAAACCGCCGAAACCCAAAAGCCGAAAGCCTATACTTCGAACCCTGAAGCTCGAGACTTCAAGCCCACACAGTCTGACCAGCCAACATCCGCACTCAGGAAGATCGACTATTCGCGGATTCGGGTCGTGGATGCAGGCTGCAGCATAGTCGGAAGTTTCAGAAATAGGGCCCCTGATACAGAGCCAGCATCGGAAGAATCCCCCCAATTCAATATCCTTTGATTCGAGAATCATGTCCTCAGCGATTGCAGCGCCTCGATTGATTTCGGTATTGCAGGTGATCCGGTGTCCATGGAGCAGGCATTCAGAGATGGCCAAGGAGACTACGTTCACTTGCAAGGTCCAGCAGCCCAGCTACTGGAGCACGACGGTGTAGGCTGGAGTCGACAAGTCACACGACCCCAGCGCTGAGCGTGTAGGGTTTAGGATAGTTAGGCACGAGATTCGTGATAGTTTTGGGTGTCGGGCATTAGGTGGTTAGGCACGAGATTCGTGAGCCAATTGCCTACACCCTAAACCTAAAACCCTAAATCCCTACACCCAACCCTAAATTCCTACACACCCTAGACCCCAAGCCCTAAATCCCTGCACCCTAAACCCGAAAAGGCGTCGTGGTGGCGTCGCTGGGTGAAACTCTAGGACCCATCGCTTTCAGCTCGCTTTGCGCTCGTCGAAGCTGGCTGAGCTCGGATATGGCCAAAGCCTTTCTCAGGGCTTACCGCCTTTTGGCAGAAAGAAGGTAGATGAGACTTGTAGTATATTATAACCTAGTCCAGTCTATTTAATTGTCTGTCGTAGTCTATGTCGCATATTCTAGGATACTATAGTAGAACATGGTAAAATGTAGGATAGAATAATATCATATGTTATAGAATTTTAGAGTATGTTGTAGCTTTCTTACCGTACATCAAAGTATTGTAAATTGTATTCTTGGCACTTCAAAATGGAGTATGCTGAGAAGCATGAGATTCCAAGTTCAGTGAACTTTCGTGAGACACTTGCCGGTGACTCTTCAGGTGAAGGTTGCCGGGAAACAGCGGGAATATCACCTGAGAATGTGGCAAAGGCGCGCCACCATGTCTTGCATCTGCAGCCGGCCACTGCGATGTTGCTGCAGCAATAGTTCCGTAGTCTGCCGAGCTAGTGTCCCACTGCCTGAGGGTTTGGGATGGTTTTGTTCGCCTGTGTCCGATGCCTGACAGTTTGTCGCTTGCCTTTTGCCCACTGTGTCTTGAACTCTGCTGGTTGACCGTATCACTCACTGATTCATTCACTCGCTTGTCTGCTCACATCCAACCATCCACCATCCACCCATGCACACCTGCTCAGCATTGCCCGCAATTGCCCATTCGGGCACATGCTCGGACTCGTGCACTTTACTCTCGTTCCCTTTATTTATTTTTTTTTCTCTCTCTCTCTCTCGCTCTCTCTCTCTCTCAAGTTCTGCCGCTGTCTCACCCTCAATCCTTCAGTCTCGCACTTGCTCGGAGACCACTCTCCAACTCGCTCATCTCACTTGCTCTCCCTGTCTATTTCTCGCTCTTTTCGTTCTTATGTTTCTGTTGGAATGCCGGCTCGTGGCTGCTTCTTCTGCAAGGTGGTCCAGCCATTTTTCGACGATATCGACTGGAACGTGTTGGTGTCGACAATCTCGACCTACCAGCAGATGGGCTGTTGGGGAGGAGATGTAGGCATAGGGCCTGATACGTATGACAGATTAGTCGAGGCATTTCTCTACGCAGGCGTCATCACACAGCGGCATCCTTATGATGCTGCGATTGCCAGCGTTGTGGAATAATAGGCTCTGTCGCGCACCAGAGCTGCAAAAATGGTTCGAAATGCAATGCTTGCTACGCAGCCAAGCCCTAAACCCTAAACCCTAAGCCCCTTCTTTTCCTTTATGAGGTTGGATCAGATGCAGACATTGGGCCAGGTCCTTGGAGAGGGCCACTTGAGCTCCTCTTATAGATATAAGCTGGTTTAGGGATTATGGCCAGGACATAGGCCGAATATAAGCTTTAAGATCAGGCTTCTAAAGCACAGAGTTGATTAGTAAACCATTCGTTGGGATACAGAAAACGTCAAGAGCTGTTACAGGCGAGTAAGGTGAGCGATGAAGTGAGCGACTATGAAATGAACGACTGCCAGACTCACGGGAATGCTTTGCAGTAGTCAGGCTGTGCCACGACATTTTTGGTCTGCATCTGAGAAAGAACTGGTGCTGGCAGCACTGCACCGTGGTGCTATGTGCACGCCTAGATTTTGCCAGGACCATGAAACCGACTTGCCGGTACAGGTGCTTGAGGTTGGGGCAGCAGCTCATAAGCTTGTTGGAAACGTTTCCGATCTCCTCAACATTTTCCCCATCTCTCTGCAGGCACGTTGCGCTCCGCACCTGCAACACCTGGATGCCTTGGCCTTGATACCTTGCCTTGTCAAGCAGATGTCCACGCTCATGTGCCAGCAGGTGCAACTTCCGGAGCAAGATCCCAACGATCTTGAAAACCACCTCCTCCAGGCGACATGTTCGGTGTCGATTGGCCTTGTCTTTTTAGTGAGGAAAGACTCAGTTTTGAGTCTTGATCAACATAAACGAATTACTTGAATCCGACTTCTGTCGCGAGGGAAAGCTGGGCCCTGAAACTTCTCCCAAAATTAACTCTGGAAGTCTGGTCTCCGCTCGCAAGTCTTCTAAGCTTATGCCATAGCTCGCGTTGACCCGAGGTGGCACACGGACACAGCCCACTTGCTTGGGAAATGGTAGTGTAAGGTTTGCCGTCTTCGGATACAAGAGCACCTTTCCCAAGCTTCTGGAAGCTTGGTATTCAGACCCGGCCAAGAAGCCAACACCTGCCCTGGTGCAGGTGTGTCTGACTGTTTTCCAGCTTCTGCGCAGCACCTTCGGGGATACCGCGGTGCAAGTGCTGGATGGCTTCGTCTCTCGCACAGGTCGGCGCCGTCCTTTGACTCGGTTTGTTTCCGTTGGATCATGATCTTGCGAAGGATGAGGCGACGTCAATATTAGCTGGTGTGGATGCTAAAAAGAAGCCCCGAATTTAGAGAACTGCCCTTATAGTATGTATGTATATATATATATGGTAACCCTATAGAAACCCTTATAGATGCTTGTTTGATGACCTGGGTTTAACAAATTTCTTGAGAGTGGGGGTTTTGGTGTATCAGACCTCTGAGGTTAGGGGCCTCTGGAGCCTCTGGCCTCTGGGGGGGGCGGCTGAACTCAAAAGAGAAAGCGCACAGAAAGCCGCGTTCCGGGCATGTTTGGGCATACAGCACCATGAAATAACATATATAATATATGACAAGTAGTACTATAGTATGTACTCGCAATTCCGCAGCAACCCCTAAACCTAAACCCCAAACCCTAAACCCTAAAGCCGGGATCTTGTGGGGTCAGGCCGCAAGATGGCGAACGAGATGTTGCAGCGCGCGATATCTCAATCGTGCGCACCCCAGAACTCTGTGGGATCTGGGTGTCGGGCTTAGGGGTTTGGGGAGTTAGGGGTCTATGTGAATCCTGCCGAAGCAAGTGACGCGGCTTTGACTTTGGTGATTTTTTCGCGGTGTGGAGCAGCAGTCGAGGTCTTTTTGTCCTCCCTCGAACTATTCATCCGGGGAGATAGGTGCGAGCTGTGCCCCGTCACATTGAACCCCAGTGCCGCGACATGCGCACAGGTGCCATCGCCGCGCCTGCCGGCTTCGGATCTGGTGTGTTTCTCTCGGTGACAGTGGTTTTGTTTATGGTCAGGAGCCAATCTGCTCGTTGACTTGAAGAAGCCGCAGCATACAGGAATGATATCCACTGAGGCTCCTTTGCTGCCTTTCTGCGCCTGCTGGCTGACGTCGTGGCTTGACGCGCCAAAATAGAAAGTTCCATCTCCATGTCTGTTGCCACTGGCCACTGTAGATGCCACAAGCTTCTCCATGCATGCAGCTGCTCCTCAGTCGTGATCGTATTGTGACACAAAATCTTTCTGCTCCCCTCTCCGGTATCTGCTCTTGCTCGCGCTGATGCCATGGCTGTATTGATCTGCCTTCCCCGCGTGCGTTTCCTCCAAGGCATGAGAACCTTGAAGGCTCCGCCGAGAGCCTCAGAAGGCCGTTTTTTCGGAACAGCTTTTGTAAAGAGAAGACATCTTCCGGCTCTGGGCAGGCCGATGGAAGCTTCGCCAGAGCTCGACCTACAGGCAGAGTCCAGCCTTGCTCATGCAGTGGTGTTGAAGCTGGGTGACTGCAGAAGAACTTAGGACTCTGCTCAAACACCTGAGCAGTGCTCAAGCTTCGGCTGCAGTCTCGGTGCACGAGTTTTGGCTACGATGGGCTCGGTTAAGGGGGTTTTCAGCACAAGATGCGCGCTTGACTTCGATTCACAAACCCATGCCTCAATTTTCCAGGCACAGGCTGTGAAAGGCTCAGCCGAGGCAGGTGTTCTCCTCCATCGCTTCCTGGGGAGTTTTCCTCATCTGCAAACGCTCCGGCAGGTTTGGGATGGCAGCCTGGTGTACGCCGCTGAGTTTCCCAAACATGCAGGCAGGAGGTACGTCGAGCATCTCAGGTGTCACCGTCCCTTCGGTGGGGCATTCTATCAGGCACGGCAGCTAGCAGCTAGGGACTGGCGATCGCTGCCATCCTTCGTTGCGTTGTCTCAGCTCGCTCGTCTGAAGGCATCGCTGGTACAACTCTCCTCTTTGTGTACGCGTCTGTGACGCCAGGAATACTACTGTCAGGCCCTGCAGCTTGTGCAAGTGAGCTGACACAGTGGAGGCTGCTGCCGACCCGCGACAGCATTTGTTGAGCCATAGCATCCCTTCAGGCAGCTTCACGGCATCTGGTGGTTCATCCGACACCCGGCACATGGCGTCCCTCTCCATGGACAACAGCTTGGCGCACGTCTCAGCCTTCACCCCCCAAAAAGCGAACCAAGCAACCCTGAAGGCTAAACCTCAAGCGCCAAAATCCAAACCCAAGCCCTAAACCAACTTACCCAAAACCCTTAACCCTAAACCCTAAACCAACATACCCTAAAAAAACTCTTAGCCCTAAACATGAGATCCCAGCTTGGCCTTAGGGCCCCTTGCGCTTCCCTTGTGGACTGAAGCTTCGACAGGAGTTCCAGAGAGGCACAAGCTTTCAACACAAGGAAAGGCATCCCACACCCTCAAGCCTAAACCCTATTCCGGACGTGGATACTAGTAGCTGAAGGAAAAGGGGTCAAAACAAAACAGACCTTGCGTACTTAAACTCCCAGCGAGACGGACAAAAAGGGTGGTTGAAAGCAAAACCAAGCCCCAGTAAAACCCTCTTCAGGTGCAGACTTGGAGTGTGGGGTGACTTGGATGAAGCTTTGAAGTTCGGGGTTGTAGGGCTTAGGGTTTAGGGGTTCAGGGGTTTTGGGTTTAGGGTTTAGTGTTTTAGGCTTGAGGTAACGCCACAGTCCTGACGGTATTTAGGCCTCAGGGTTTGGGCCGATAGAGTTCGACCCGAGGTCGTACTTCGTGTTCTGCGCGATGTTGATCTTCAGTGTGGTCTGGCCGTACATCAAGCTCTTGATGATGCTGTGCCCCATCGCTATCCACCTTTCCTTGGCGAGTTTCCAGTCGGCTGCTACAGTCCTAAATCCTACTCCCCAAGGCTGCCAAACCCCTAAACCCTACACCCTAATCAACAAACCTCCTAGCCCTAAACCCTAAACCTTAAATCACCAAAAAAACAACCTGAGCCCGAAGCTCTCGAGCCTGAGACGAGAGCTGAAGACAGATCAGCCAGGTATGTCTGGGTGAGACCCATTGAGCCGAAAGCGCTCGGTCCTATGCTGGTCTTCTTGGCTCCCTGCCTTATATTCTTCATTGCAGACCCCTGATTCATAAAGCCCTGTCGAAAAAGGGATTCTAGCAGTGCCAGAAATTGTGCAGGCACCCCTAAAGTAAGGGAGTATTTATCAGGGGTCTACCTGATCACTACGGAAGGCTGCTGTCACCAACAGGATGTGGCTCGGTACCAAGGACCAGATAGGGAAGTGGTCGCTTATGGACAACATCATCTTGTTCCTCTTTGCTCGGGCCTCATGCAATACACATCGACCGCAGCGAGTTGGGAAGGGGTGATACGTACTTCGTTGCTCCAAGCACGGCTGAGCTCACTTGGAAGTTCAAAGAATCGGCTTCCTCAAGTCCTGCAAACTGCAGAGGTCGTCTTCTTCCACATTGCCTGGACGGGTGAGGCCTTCAGCTAACAGTAGCTGCGTGAAATCTCGAACTCGAGTCAATCTGTGATTCCTTTGGATCTTTTCAGCCTCAGCGGCTAAACCCTAAACCCTAAATCCGAAACCCCTAAAGCCCTAAACCCCTAAACCCTAAACCCCCAAACCCCTAAACCCTAAACCCCTAAACCCCAAGGTTATTCTTGGTAGCGGCGTGAAATTTGCCCTTTGATCGCTCCCGGAGGATCTTGTGGGAGGTGGGTTGGCCAAGTTCGGCTTGAAGTGCAGCGGGTGCCTGAGACGGACAGCAGCCTAGGGTTTAGGGTTTAGGGTATGGGGTTTAGGGCTTGGGGTTCAGGGTTCAGGGTTTAGGGCTTAGGGTTTAGGGTGTAGGGTTTACGGTTTAGGGGAAGAAGAAGATGGTGAGCCGGCACGATAGTATCTATTTATCTTGCTACCAGTAGCTAGCTAGCTATCTTACCTAATGTAGTCTAGGCCAGGGTAGGCGCGGCTAGGCCAACATATTCTAGTCCATTCCAATCTACCCTAATCTTGTTTGATCTAGTCTTATCTAATCTTATCTTGTCCTATCTTATCTTGTCCTATCCCATCCCGCCCCATCCATCCCATCACATCCTATCATGTCTATCTATCTACCTATCTACCGATCTACCGATCTACCTATCTATCCATCATATGCACAAAACAAGCACAAAGGCATGGCATCGATGCCAGCAAGGGAAGGAAAGGCCCAGCTCCGCAATTTCGCGAGGCCCGGAAGATGAGCTCAACACCTTCCTTGCGGCCACCATCCTGCAGGGGGGCCCTTTCAAAGAGCTTGCGGTAGGAGAACCCTGCTCTAAAGGTACCATAAAATGGCACCTGTAGTGTACTATCAGGTGCCGCAATATGCAATAAGATAGTAAAGTAGCTGCTTGTTGACGGATCGAAGTGGTCGAAGTCTGCGTTAGGTCCCTACTTCTGGGCCATGCCATGCTCTGGATACACCGGGCCAATGAGAAGACTACCCGAGGCAGGGAAACTGCCCCTGGCGCTTTCTGTAGGAAGAACATGCCCTAAACCCCGAACCCTAAGCCCGAAGCCCTGAACCCTAAACCCTAAACCCTAAGCGCTGAACCCTAAGCCCGAAACCCTGAACCCTAAACCCTAAACCCTAAGCGCTGAACCCTAAGCCCTAAGCCCTGAGCCCTAAGCCGTCTGATGGCCTGACCGTGCTCGCATCCTCGAAGGCCCAGAGGAAGCACTGGTTCAGTCCGGCTGCCCTGGCATGTGCTGCTTTGCTGGCCGAGTGCAGGAACCATAGTATAGCATAGGCATAGTATATAGTATATAGTATATCGTATATCGTATGTAGTATATAGTATATAGTATATAGTATATAGTATATAGTATATAGTATATAGTATATGGTATATGGTATATGGCATACAGTATATAGTATATAGTATATAGTATATAGTATGTAGTATGTTATATACAGTATATAGTATCTAGTGCATAGTCTATAGTATAGTCGAGCCCCATGGCAGGCCAGCCGGCTCGGCGCTTGCGGATAATAGGCACGCCTCCGCTTTGCTGATCATGCCGCGCGCCAGACCTCTCGAGCAACACTTGCCCGTTGTTCGACTCCGCTAGATCGGGCATGCTAGCATCGATCACGAGTAGTTTTGCTTGCTCTCCGGGTCTATATTATACTATATAATATACATATATATATATACATACTATGCTATACTATACCATAATGTGCTATACTACGCTAGACTGTATCGAGGGTCGTATATGTGCATGGTGGGCTGGGCAAGGAGTGAGACTTGGATCTGGCCTCCTTATAACGAGAGGTGAATCTGCACGACAGACGTTCCCCCTCCTTCACCCCCGAACTCTAAACCCTAGCTTCTGCCTTCGCCTTTGCCCTTGGTGCCACTCTTATTGAAGTTTCGGAAAGCGGGGTTTATCGATCCTAAACAGTGAACTCAGAGACTCCAATATCCCTTAGAATATACCTTAAACTCCTATTAGAATTTAAGGTAGATTCCTCAATTAGGGGATATTGGAGTCTCCGGGAACTCAAGATCCTCCCTAAGCAGATCCCCAAGAGGCACCCTCAACGCCCCAGTAACACCGCAGTCTGCATGCGCAGGTGCGGGCCATGTGGTGTGCTTTCTGCTCATGGTTTCGCACCGAGCTTCTGACCCTAAGCCCAAAGCCCCCTGAAGTTTAAGGGGTTTCGGGTTTCGTGTAAACCCCAAAAACCCTAAGCCCAAAGCCCTAAACTTTAAAGGGTTTCGGGTTGCGGGTGAACCCCAAAACTCCAGAACCCCACAGAAAGCCCGAAACCCGAAATGCGAAGCCTCAGACTCCGACCCCACTCTTCCACAAGCCGATGCCCTTGGGGTTTAGGGCTCACTGTAGGGTTTTAGGGCTTGCTGCAGGGTTTAGGGTTTTAGGGCTTCGGGTTTAGGGTGTAGGGTGTAGGGCTCTTTTTGGGGTCCGCTGACCACCTGTAGGCGTGCCTTGCCTCGCAAGCATGTTCTGAAAATAACAACTGGAGTTGAATTCTACACCCTGTAATCTCAGTCTTAACTGTAAACCCTGTAATAACTTTAATATCATTCTGAACCCTAAGCCATGTAACAGTCTTAACCCTAAACCCTTGAATAACTGCAATATCAATCTTAACCCTAAACCCTAAACCCCTTAACATCAGTCATAACCCCAAGCCCTGAACCCTTTAATATCATTCTTAACCCTAAACCCTAAACCCTTGGATATCAGTCTTAACCCCAAACCCTAAAGCCTCGGATATCCGTCTTAACCCCAAACTCTAAACCCCTTTGATGTCAGTCTTCACCCTAACCCCTTTAATACCATTCTTAACCCTAAACCCTAAACCCTGTAATATTAGTCTAAAAACACCCTAACCGCTTTCACATCAGTCTTAACCCTAACCCCTTTAATATCTGTCCTGACTTTAAAACCTTTAATATCAGTCTTAACCCTGCCTGTTAGTATCATTCTTAACCCTGAACCCTAAACCCTTCAATCTCAGATTTCAACCCCATACCCTAAACCCTTTGACATCCGTCTTAACCCTAAAGCCTAACCACGGCAACCTAAACCTGAACATCAGTCTAAACCCAACCTTCAGCCCTAAGCCCAAATGTCAGTCTTCAACATATGGGTAGTTCTCTAAATGAGGGTCCCTTTTCAAGAACTTTCAAGCAAAAGGCGGCACCCTTATGAAAAAGGATCCTAAAGGGGACCCTAAACCCTAAACCCTAAAACCCTAAAACCCTAAAAGCCCTAAGCCCTAAAAGCCCTAAACCCTAAACCCTAAAAATCCTAAAAACCCTAAAAACCCTAAAAACCCTAAAAACCTTAAATCCTAAACCCTAAAAACCTTACAAACCCTAAAAACCCTAAACCCGAAAAGCCCTAAAAACCCTGAACCCTAAACACCCTAAACCCTAAACCCTAAAACCCTAAAAACCCTAAACCCTAAAAGCCTTAAAAACCCTGAACCCTAAACACCCTAAACCCTAAACCCTAACCTAGAGAACGACCCCGTATCTCAGACCGACAGTTTTCCTCAGGTTCTCTCCTGGCAGGTGGAAATTGTGCGGACCCTGGGATGGAAGCCTCTTAGGTGCCTCTTAGGTTTATGGGGTTTAGGGTTTTGGATGTAGGGTTTAGGTGTATGGGGTTCTGTTACTAGAAGGGTTTTGGGTTTATAGGATTTCATAGGGCTTAGGGTTTAGGTTTATAGGGTTTAGGGTTTAGGTTTATAGGGTTCAGGGTTTAGGTTTATGGGATGTTATAGGGTTTAGGGTGTAGGTTTACAGGGCTTAGGGTTTAGGTTTATAGGGTTACTAGAATTGGTTTTAGGTTTGGTGCTACTTCACGGGTTTAGGGTTTGCTTCTAATTCGGGGTTTGGGTTTAGAGTTTCTAAGTATACGGGGACCTATAAGGGCACTACCTAAAGACTTCAGGGGGTACATCCTAAATGGTGCTGTATAGTTGAGTCTCGACAGCATCCTGAGCTAAGGTTGAAGTCACCTTCAGTGGCCTCGTCGGAACATTTTTGGAGGCACACTCCGGCGGAAGTGCGCGTGGTTGGGTGTGGGCGGCACCGCTAGTTGCCCTTGCCCCCCGGCACTCTTTGCCGAAAGGTGACGCAGCAAGAAACCTCCAAGAGATACAGCGCCCCTGGCAAGTTTCAGAGTCACGACAGACTTTGCTCCAAAATTCGGCAGACTGAGGCATTCTCGGGATCCTGTCCTGTTTGGGAGCGCAGGGCTCGATGTACCTGCAGGCACGGCGACTGCCCACATCTGCCACGCAAGCTTTCGCCAGCTGTAAGCTGTCGTTTGCAAGGCGCTGCAGCCTCGCCAGGTGACTTTTGCAGTTTTCGTGCTAGCCATCCCTATGCTTCAGCTGCTGGCAATGACATTTTTCTGCGGGAAGCTGAAGAGATCGTCGTGCTTCCCAGAGACTCCAATATCCCTTAACTAAGGACTGTACCTAAAATTATAATAGGAGCCCGAATAAGATTTAAGGTATATTCCTTAATTAAGGGATATTGGAGTCTCTGGGTTTGAGACTTTGCATCCGCCCATGGCTTCGCCTTGAAAGGCCTACATCAGCTGCGCCCAAAGCGTCGGCAGCAGTTTCTTCGTTTATGCCGGGGCTCCATGCTTCCCCACTCACCTTGCAGACTTCGGAGAGTGGGAGGTTCTGGAACAGAAAACCCCCCAAAACCCGAAGAAAACCCGAGGCTATACCTTGCGAGCCTGGGCTGCTTATGACGTCTTCCTCATTGCCTTCCTTGCCGCAGTTCTGGGCGGCGACAGGCCGCTTTGAAGTCGCCTTTATGGTAATCTTTCCGAAAATAAGGGGTACCTTATTTTGGGCTCATTTATGATAAGGTTCCTACCATTTAGGATGCTATATTAGGGTCCCCTATTTTCGGAAACCCCCCAAAATAGTGCCCCAAACACAGTAGACCCTTGTAGTAACCCTTGCAGTAGTAAAGAACCCAATACCCTTGATTAAGGAACATACCCTAAAATCATAACATCCAGGCCCCTGCCTGTATAGTTTAAGTCATATTCCTTAATCATGGAGCCTGAGAGCCTGCTGTGTGCCAGGTATGGCATCGGCCAGTTTATCGAGTCCCTTCCTGAGACTTCTTCAGGAAAGCAGCCTCAGTGCGCCTGAATAGGGTTTAGGGTTTAGGGTGGTCTCAAGTTCTTCAACAGATCCTTGTGGTCTCTTTGGCACATCTTTCGGAGGTTGATCGTTTACAAGCAAAACCTGGCACCCACGTGCCGTGGCCTGCGGGACGTCGGCGTCGAGTGCCTTCCTCCCAGCTGAGAGCTGCAGTCATCATTTGAGCATCAGTGGGTGACGTCCAGGCCTACATATACACCTTGGCTTCCTGCCTGGCACAATTATCATCGTTGCTGCCGCCAGCCTCTGAGCCTAGCTGGAGTCCGCGCACCCTCCCCCGGCTTTGGATGTCCTGTGATGTCCGGAGTCCTGCCTGCCCGGATGCAGTCTTTAAGGTTGCACTCTCCTACGTTGTGAACTTGCTGGTGGCGTGTGACCCTCAGAGAGCTTGGCACTCGCAAGACGTCGTCATTTGGGAGCAAAACTGAGGAGAGAGACGAGTCCCGGATGAAGATCCTGTCACGCCGTCTGGGAACACAAAGCTGCCAGGCAAAAAAGCATGCGCAGCCGGCTGTTCAAGCTTTCTGCACTTCCGCATCAGCTAGCGGCTTGCAGTCTCCGGCCTCCTTGTCGCAGGAATCGGACTAGACTAGGCATACGGTTGATGACATAAATCCTACATTACCCATAATAAGGAATATACCATAGTCCCCATAGTTTAGGGTCCTTCAGGTAATGCAGGACTTATATCATCAAGAGTAGCTCTACATCACAAACCCGGTCATTTCATTGTCTGTGATCGATCGCTCCGCTGGGTGTGCTCGAAGCTTCATCGCGTCTGAACCTGCAGAGAGTTGACGCAGTTGGGAGGAGATGTGGGCTCTGTAAGCCATTGTCGCTCTATTCAGCCAGACCAGGCAGGGATGGGCCCATTCGGTTCAGATCTATGCATTTCGGTTTCGGTTTCGACAGCATCTAGCAATTGTCTGCTTCGGCTGCCGGTTTTGAAGAGCGCTGTTTGTCAAATTCTTCCATGCAGATGCAATGGCCGCGACTCCCCTTTGTTGGGTTCTCCTCGCCCTTCTTCCATCGGCGTTCGGGATCCGTGTGGAGCAGGACGCAGGCGGCGCAGGGGGCGCGCCGGCTTGGAGCACCACTTCCGCCGAGGAGCTCCAGCAGACTCTGCTGGAAGAGCTGAGCCCTCCTGGAGCTCTCCCCGGAGCAGCTTCTGTGCCTTTAAAATGCGCGAGGCAGAGAGACGCCCCTGAGCCGCTGGAGACACCCCTCAAAGCAGAGGGCGGGCAGAATGCAGAGTCCTTGAAGGAGTTGATCGGACGAGTCCGCCAGACCTGGGCGGAGGGGGGCGCAACTGGCTGCTTCCAGCAACTCGGGAAAATGATTGCCAACTTGACCACCACCTGCGAAGAGCGAAAGCCCCAAGAGAACTACATGGACTACATCTTCCAGCACTACACGCCACCGCTCTCAAAGAAAACCTGCAAGGACAGCGCGGACGACATCTTTGTTCACGGCAGCGCCTTAGTGAAGGCCATGCAATACCCGAAGGACAGCGTAGCTTCCTTGAAGCTGGACCGAAACACGGCGGCCATGGTCCAGTCGCTGTACTTCCTGCGAGCCTGGCTGACTCCGCTTGCTCGAACTCACAACTCTGCCCTGCTTTGGGCAGGTTTCTGGGACGCCGACCCAACGAAACGTGCCACCATGGAGGCATTGCACGAATTTGCGATGGCCACGGACCATTCAACCGTGCATCCGGACAGCTGGCTGGGGCAGGCGGGATGCGATGTGTGGTGCACAGGAATGTTTGAGATGTTTCCATCTTAACCCTAAACCCTAAACCCTTTGTAAAGACCGACAGGTCATTGACAGCAGTGAGGACCTGCAGGACTGCTACAAGACGAGACGCTCCAGCTGCTGCTGAACATGTGGGACATTGTGAGCATGAGCTTCGTGCTCGGCATGATGGAAAGGGGACAAGGCACCGTCGTCGCGCTGGTAAATAAGGGCATGGAGGGCCAGCGGCCGCTTCAAAAGGCAGTCCTCTACGAACATGAGATTCCGACACTGGGGGTGGCTGCGTATGGACTTGGGTACTGGTCGCCTCAGGTTCTAGTCATCGACTTGCAGGGCACCTGCTCCCGAACCAGTCCCGCACTCCAACGGCAGCTCGCGTCTCGCTTGGGCGCGTGGGCGAGATCCAAAGAGAAGCAGTGCTGGCGCTTGCAAGACTTCGTGCGGAGATCCCGGCTAGACTGGCGATGCCTCGACTGTAGTTCTGCAAGCTGCGCCTTGGACACTGCCTTGGCGAAGCAGGTGAGACAGCTCGTAGAGGCCTCGAAGGGGCGTTGTTCATGTTCCTGTAGTTTGCAGCTCCGAGACAGCTGGTGTGCAGGAGAAGCGGCCGAAAGACGAGAAGGGCCGAGAGCTATTGGAAGCAGTGACAGACACGAGTCAGAGCGAGGTGCGCTTGGGGCTCGGTGTCGACTGAGAATACTGCGAGAAGTCCTCAGTCAGCAGTTGCATGATAAGTCTTGTTCAAGATGTGTACTAATGTTGATGATACAAATCCTGCATTACCTTACGGACCCTAAACTATGGGAATTATGGTATATTCCTCATTATAGGTAATGCAGGATTTATATCATCAACCGCGGTAGTTAGCCAAACCTGATTCCGAGATATCGCACAGCATGGCAATTGCCAGTAAAGCAGGCATGTCTGCTGGTGTTAGTTGGTGCCCTGAGGCGGACAGAGAATCGGGGAAGGAGTACTCCGAGGCGAAGCGCAAGTTGGCGGAGTTGCTGTCGCGCGTGCAAGGGATGAAAGGCCTCGAGGCTGCTGCCCTCAAGGTGGGCACAGACCTCACCCGCATGGTCTCGGAGACTGGGTTCCTGTTAAGGCGCTTAATTTAAGCTAAAAATGAAACTCTATTATCTACTATAGATCCCTAGTATGCTAACTTAAAATGAAGTTCCTTAGCAAGAGCCCAGGAGAGAAGCCCGATCACTCGGCGCCACAGGGAGGTCTCGGTGACTCAGGTTCGGGCTCTGCTCGATTCGAAGGCTGATCCCAACATGGCAGACCGACAAGGCTCCACCGTACTGGACAAAGCTGCCGAGAGCCGGAACGTGGAGGTGGCGGCGCTGCTCCTGGAGCATCGAGCAGAGCTTAATCCACGCAGAGACGACGGCTGCACGCCCCTCCACACGGCTGCGGTTAAAGATGACCTTCCTATTGCAAGGCTGCTCCTTGAGCACAAGGCAGAGGTGGATCCGAACGACGACGGAGGTCGGACGCCCCTGGACCTTGCTGCCGACTTTGGTCGCTCGGAGGTGGCGCGGTTGCTATTGGAGCACAGGGCCGACCTGAATCGAAAAGACGCGAACGGCAACACGCCCCTCCATCAGGTTGCCAGGAAACTGGGTTGCTGTTAAGGAACTTAATTTAAGTTACCATAAGGGGGATATATAGTAAAACAGCAGTGATTCCCTATTGTAGTAAACTTAACTTAAGTTTCCTAGCAGCAACCCAGGAAAGGCGACCCCGGGATGGCGACCCTGCTCCTGGATCACGGGGCGGAGCCGAGTCTCCAGAACGTGAATGGTGCCACCCCACTCGAATTGGCTGTTGTGCAGGATCATTCGGAGCTGGTGAGGCTTCTCCTTCAGCATAAGGCAGAGGTGAATGCCCAGAATGAGGAAGGCCGAACGCCCTTGCACCTTGCTGCCGTGCACGGTCGCTCGGAAGCGGCGGCGCTACTCCTCAATCACAGGGCTTGGGTCAATCCCCGAGATGAGAGCAACTGGACGCCTCTCCACTGGGCTGCGCAAGGAGGTCATTCGCAAGTGGCCGAGCTGCTCTTAGACCACAAGGCCGAGGTATAGGGGACCCTAATATAGTACCCTAAGCAATAGGACCCTTATTATAAGGACCCCAGTATAGGGTACCCCTTAAACCCAAACCCTAAACCCTACAAGGCCGTGGTGAGTCCCCATGACAAGTCCTGGGGGATGGTCACGCCCCTCACCTTGGCGACAGGGTCGGTGAGAGAGCTGCTTCTGCAGCACGGAGCGCAATGAGCTGGCCTCAAGACCCTTAGAAAACAAGCTCGAGCAAAGCTTCAGGGTTTGTACCACGGGTCGACTCGAAAACGCGTCCTATAAGGGTTCGTGTGAGGGTACTACCACAAGGGGTTACTACAAGGGAGTTCTGAGACAAAAACATGTAGGTTCCTGCAGGATTCCTGTTGGGAAACGAGGTCCGGCTGGCTGTAATAAGGCCAGAAGGGGGCCTTCGCAACTTAACTGGAGTGCTTGGGCTTACGATGGATTATTTATAAAAGGACTTTAAACGGATATGTAAATATTTTCCCAAACGCTTTTGGTGGGCATCCGACGGATTTTGTAGTCCACTACATCCTATAGCATACATGCACAGCCAATGAGCAGTGAGGCCGCTGAAGTCAGCGTTCTCCGTAGTCCGCGGGTCGGTTCGTGCAACTTGGTTTGGATTCGGCTCGGTTCCACTGCGTGCAACGGTTCCCGCAGCGGTTGCGGTCTGGCTTTGCATCAATACGCCTTGCTTCTTCGATTTACCCCGGCGCAGCTTTTCGCTCTCAGCACACCCTCATGGTCCTGATTCAGGGATGCTTCACATCCTTTCACCACGTCCAGAGGGAAAGGAGGGACAGGAGCAGCAACCAACATCTATTGCAGATCTATGCATGATTGATATATATATATATATGATATGATATGATATGATATGATATGATATGATATGATATGATATATATATATGATATATATATATATATAAATATATATATATATATTAAATACACTGTAGCGAAGGGACAGCAGTCAGGCATTCTCGAGATAAGGCCCAGCCACAGTGCAAAGCGACAGCCCAACCCGG